TAAAAACGTTTTTGATTAGAGAGATCTCAAGATTTAATCAATCTAAGTCTGTTTCTCATCATCTCATCATCTCATTTCTGCTTCTAATCATGATTAACATCATCTCTTGCAAAAGATTAGATGTGTTCTTCATGATTAGTGAGTAGTCATCTTTTAAGCTTCTAGGTGTGTAGATTAGGGTGCTTAGATGTAGATTAATGATTGTTTAAGCTTAGATTCTTTTCTCCTTTCCTTAGTTAGCTGATCCTAATGCTAGATCCTTGCACATCACTTGGGTCTAGAATCTGGGTTTTTCATGCACCAAAAGTGTTTGATGAAATGCCTGAATGAAAGCTAACTAAGGGTTTATGCATTAATGTCATGGGAATGATTGTTAAATGCATGAATGGCATATTAGAACTGTTTCTTAATGCTCATTGATTCATATTTCACAAATGATGATTTGGTTTGAAAATGGATTAGTGTAGAGGTTAGTGCCTTCATGAGAGGATTAATCTAGATTAGAGTTCTAAGTTAATTGGAATTTGAGATCATGTGATGCTTGCTTTATCTTTCTGTATAAGATTCAGTCTTTCTTAGCTCTTATTTTGATGCACAAAGAGGCTGTCTGGTCATGTTAGACTTGGAACCTTATGCTTGTTAATTGCTTATTCACTAATGGGAATTAGTCTTGAATTGGTAATTAACAAAGGGATTTCTGTCATGAGAATGAATTAATCTGAATTGGAAGTCTAGACTAAAGATTTGCAAGTGTTGCATTGTTTGCTTAGCATCATGAATTCACATTTAAAGCACCCTAATCAATGATCACATCTAGAGGTTTAGCTTTCTTTTTATTTGAATTTGAGTGTTTGTTTAGTTTCTCTTGCTTGTTTAATTCTTAATTACTGTTTGTTCTTGCTTGTTTTGTTATATGCTTTTAGATAATTTTGGTTACCAACTCATCTGCTTATTAGACTTGGATTAAGAATTGATCCTCATAGTTCTAGTGTCTAGAATCTCTCCATTTGGATTGATACCTCAAGTGCTACAATGACATGAGTAGTTGAGGAATTGATCAAGGATTGAAAAATTCCTACTATCAATTTGGCGCCGTTGCCAATTGGAGAGTTCATTCTAGCATTAGGACTTTGGATCTTCTTGAGATCAAGTCATTTTCTTTTGTTTTACTGATTACCTTTCAAGTGCTGTCTTTGTTTTCAGGTGTATGAACACCAGAAGTCAAGCAAGGGGATCACGAGAAAGAGCTGAGCACATTGAGAGGTTGGGTATGGATCAAGGGCAACAGGCTCATGGTGGTAATGGAAACCACCAGAATCAAGAAGAGCCACCGCCTCCACGTCCAAGACAAGTTGTGGGAGCTGGTGATGAGGCCAATGCTCAGGGTCAAAGACATGGGATTCAAGCCCCAACACCTGAAAACGATTTTGAGATCAAATCTGGCCTGATCAACATGGTGCAATCAAACAGGTTCCATGGCTTGGCATTAGAAGACCCATTAGATCACATTGACAACTTTGATAGAGTTTGTGATCTAACTAAGATGAATGGAGTGAGTGAGGACAGTTTCAAAGTTGAGCTATTTCCTTTTTCTCCTAGAGACAAAGCTCATCAGTGGGAAA